GCCAGAAGAGGGCACCAGACCTCATTACAGATGGTTGTGAGCCACCATGTGGTTGCTGGGAATTGAACTCAGGACCTTTGGAAGAGCAGGCAATGCTCTTAACCACTGAGCCATCTCTCCAGCCCCTACTGCTTGTTTTAAATATTTCATTCTGCTGTGCATAACTGCATGTGAGTTCTGTGCTGCCTCTGTTACATTTTGCTGGATGCACAGTGCCAAGATCATTACTAAAACTTTCTCGAAAAAAGTTCTTATTACATATCTATTACATATCGATATTTGTCCTGTGCCTCTAAAATGAAGATGTTATATCCAGTGATATATCATAAACCCAATGACATAATTAAGTGTCCATGTGTACACTCATATATATGTCTATATATGTGTGTGTGTGCATGTGTGTATATATGTATGTATGTATATATGTAAATGTGGGTGTACATTAATAAAACAATATTGCTAAAATCAGAAAAACAGGGGCCAACAAGGTGACTCAGAGGGAAAAGGTGCTTGTTGCCAAGCATGATGCCTTGAATTTGGTACCCAGGACCCACAGGGTGTAAAGAAAAAAAATAACTGACTCCTACAATCTGTACTTTAATCTACACATATCATGTAACACACGCTGCACCAACACACACACACCCACACAAACACATATACTACACATAAATAAACAAAAACAGAAGACTGAGAAGTAAGGAGGACTTCTGCCAATCATAATTGTGAACCTTCTAGTTATCTCAGATATGAGATGTGACATTCAGCCTGTGCCTCTCAGGACAGAAATTTCCTGACAAGCTAGCACTGTTTTTAACTGACTTTCGCCGAAACAGAATCTGCGGTTACCTCTTCTTGTCCTCTGAATGTTTTAGTAGTCAAAAGACAAAACCACACTATCCATGCTCAGATAATAAGAGTGTTTTAACCTTCTCAGGGCGCTTTATATTTGCAAAGTCCTCTTATGCTACGTCCATTTTCATCAAGCAACCCTATGAGAGAAGCTAGCCCCCATTTGACAGATGCTAAAGGTGAGGTCTGCTAACTCATCCCTGGCTGCATAGTTACAATCATGGCTTGGATCTCATCAGGAATTCACAGAGTTTAAGCTGCCTGCACACCATCCACTTTGTGACTTACATGAAATAGGAAAACAATGAAAAAAATAACGAAGCACTCTGAAGGTGGAGCTGTGTCATGCGGTTGTTTTTGTTATTCCTCATAGCAAATATATATATATATACACATATGTGTTTTATAAGGTTTATTTTGTGTGTGTATGTCAGCATGAGTATATGTGTACATGTCTGCAGGTATGTGTGCCTCTGTGACCACGGAGGGCGTCAGAAGGGGACTTTGGATTCATTGGCTCTGCAGTTATAGAGCAGGTCTTTGCAGGACGAGCACATTGTCATGTGGACGCTGGGTTCTGGACTCTGTTCCTCATCATGACCTTCCAGCAAGAGTCTTAACCACTGACCTATTCATCATCCCCAATTTTCTTTCTTGCACTCAACAGTGACATTTTCCTTATATGTCTCTGCTTAAATGTTGCACTTTTCCAGCATCTAGATAAAAAAAAAAAAAAACTGTCCACTTGCCCCAAGAGACCAGATTGGCACAGTGTGGCCCCACTGCTGACTCACTGAGTAGGCATAACTTGTGCCCCACCAGTCTTAAACTTGTTCTGTAAGGACCATCTGTGAAGTGAGTAGATAATTAATTCCATACTCTAGTTTAGCCTTGGGGTAGTTTAAAATTAAATCAGATATCAAGAAAAGAGCAAAATGATGGTTATCAGGGACCTGGAGGTTGATGGCAAGCACGGGGAAAGGCTGGGTAAAAGACAAAGGGCCTTGGCGCGAGTAAGTTATGGCGACCTAGTCTACTGCATGGTGACTACAATTAATGATAATGTATGCTTGAAAATTGCTACGGAATTACATCCTAAATGTGCTTACCACAAAAGAAAAGGAAATATGGAAAGAAATATGTTAATAAGTTTTCTTTAATCACTTTACATTATATACTTGTAATAAAACATTACAATGACCCCTGTAAATATATACAATTTTTATTTGTCTATTATACTTTAATAATGCAGGAAAGGGAAAACTAAATCAAACAATACCCTGGAGTATAAAACAATAAACTCTTACCTGGATTAAGCTGGAATTACTGAGGCCAGGCAGATACGAATTCTGAAGCACTACATTTAGGAATGTTGTTTAGGGGAAATTTCCTTTTCTACATATCTTATTTGTATATATTGATTTATAAAATAATGGGTTTATTATGACACTTTCATGCATGCGTAGAAAGTACCTCTGTCATCTCCATGCTACTACCCAATGACACTCGTTTATGGGGAGTTTCTTAGAGGATGGGACAGTGTCATAGAATGGCACCCCAGCTCTGTGCGTAGGACCCCTAAAATCGATGTCAAGAGTTAGTGGATCTGGGGGTTTTCATTAATATTGAGAATGTGAAGACACTGAGTATTCGGACTTGTTCATTTCAGACAGAAAACTGTATAATGACGTGACCAGATTCTAGTCTTCCTGGGAGGGGAAAAATGCTTCTCAGAAGATCTCTGCACCCAAGGGATGTATTCATATACATTCATATATACGTATATGAATTCATCCATATATAGTGGGTGTATTCACATAGGGAACTGACATCAGGCCACTCCTTGCTGGTCACAACTTCAAATATCCAAGAAGAAAAGCCCATGATTCCATTGCTGAGAAACCCTTTCCTACGATTCCCCAACATTGCACTGCACTCTGAGGTTTGGTATTTTTCAAGGCTCTTAGAAGCTACTTGCAATGCCAATGCCTACGCAACAAGGATGATACGCTTACCAAGACAAAGAGGCCCATGCTGTGTTGAGGGGTACAATGGAAGCGCTACAGTTAGGACATTAGTTACACGCGGTATAAACAAGGGCTTTGCTTCTAGACAGATGGAGCTGATTACCTCCTCATCCTTGACAAGATCATACCATACCCTGTTGTGGAATATTAGTTTGAGATGTGTTACATTGTTTATGCTGTGGATCATTTCTTGCAACAATGCAAAGATGTGTCGCATTCTTTCATGTTGCATTTGTTTAACTCTGTGAAGCTGTGTCACTTTGCCTGTCTAAAACACCTGATTGGTCCAATAAAGACCTGAATATCCAATAGTGAGGCAGGAGAAAGGAGAGGCAGAGCTGGTGGGCAGAGAGAATAAATGAAAGAAAAAGAGAAAAGAGAGAGATCAAGAAGCAAGAAGGATAAGAAGGACACGGGGCGGGGGGGCAGTCATGGTGTAAGGGGAAAGTAAGATATACCGAACAGAGAAAGATAAAAGCCCAGAGGCAAAAGGTAAATGGGAATGACTTAAGTTTTTTTTTTAAAAAAAAAAAAAAAAGCTGGCTAGAAATAAGCCAAGCTAAGGCCAGGCATTCATAAATAATAATAATAAAACTCTGTGTGTGATTTATTTGGGAGCTGGGTGGCGGACCCCCAAGGAGTAAAAAAGCCAAAACAGTACCCTATGATGGGCACATCGCTGAAGAAAGACAGTGATGAATTCTCAAGCATTTCCAGTTCATTTGTGGACAGAGCCCTGCCGTGTTGGGAGACCTTGCTTCCGCTCTTACAATCGTGGCTGGTCTACTAGAAAAGCGAGGGAGTATTAGCAAAGACAGCCAATTCCTACATTTATTCCAAGTGACCTTACCTCAATTATTACTGAAACTTGGCTCGAGGCCCATCAGGGGTCACTTGCTCCCATTCGTGGGATAGGAGTAGGAACTGGGTGGGGGGGGGTGACTAGAATGATGTATGTGGCCAAAAGTGAGGAAGCTGCCTTCCAGAGAGATTAGCTTTCTACCGGAGAGGGCTTTCTCTATTTCTGAACTCATTAAATTTGGTTTGCAGGGGATTCTTTTTTTTCTTTTTTGCGATTCTCATGTTCTTCCTGCATTTGTTTAGTCTTAAATGCTTCCAAAACATTTTTTTTAATCTTATCACGATTTTCTAGTCCTTCATAAAATGCTAGTCTTCAGGTTTTGTTTAACTGCAAGCAAATGCAAGTCTTTAAAGAATGAATGAGGACTGTTTTGGAAGCATAACCGATTGTTAGTAGTTCCCCTGTTCATGAACCTCTATCTCTCTCTCTCTCTCTCTGTCTCTCTCTGTCTCTCTCTCTCTCTCTCTCTCTCTCTCTCTCACACACACACACACACACACACACACACACAAATACCTCAAAACACTAGACCACTTTAATTACAGCTACCGTTTATCTTGAATTATGACAAAATAATTGTACTTTGCTCCTGCTGGCTCAGAGGCAACAGCAGCTTATTAATCTGACCTATTTTTAGAACTCTTTCCCCATTTAAAAAAGAAAAGAAAGTGGAAAAAGGAAACAAGAGTTAGGTAGCCGCTAATTTTATTATTCGTTTTAAAATGTCAGAAAAACAAGTATCTGCCCAAGGCCAGTGGTTAGGTTAAGCCAGACAGCCAGCAGTTTTGACGCTCTTCCCAGAGGCATAGCTAACAAGTCTTTCAAACGTAACTGATTCTCTTCAAACCCTGAAGCAATCTTTTCCTAGCGTTTAGGAACAAACTAGGCGATTACTGCTTAGTATGTTCCAAACAGTCTGGGATCACAAAGTCGTTCATTTGGCTTGGGGTGGGAACGAGGTGAGAGAATGTCTGCCTTGTAAGTGTCCGAACCGGATGAAATTTTACACCTCAGAGAAGCCCTTCCATGCGTGAAAGCAGACTGCCCGCAAGCTGGATGAGAGCAAGAGCACCTTAAGGAAGGCTTAAGGATCTAACCAGAATGGAGAGCATTGATCAAAAGCGGGAACTGGTCCAGTTTGTCTGGGGTCTGCAGCTCCCCAGACTGCTTCGCTGTGGCTGAGTGCTCCCAAGGTCTTCCGGTGAAGGCCGTGTTCTGCCTGGCTTCGCTGTTTCCCATTCTGGCTTGCTTTCTTCCAGACGTCTGGATGCCAACCACATCAGCTACGTGCCACCCAACTGTTTCAGCGGCCTGCACTCCCTGAGGCACCTGTGGCTCGATGACAACGCACTGACGGAAGTCCCCGTCCAGGCTTTCAGAAGTTTGTCGGCGCTGCAAGCCATGACCTTGGCCCTGAACAAAATACACCACATACCAGACCTGGCCTTTGGAAACCTGTCCAGTCTGGTAGTGCTGTGAGTTTTTATTGATTTTGCTCTCTGTTTTGACAGTTTCTAAATTCCCTCTGAGATCTTAAAGTGTTGGACCTCAGAATTTGAATGAAGGCGTTTTAAGGTGGAAAAAACTGAGACCCTCTCTTGAGACCCTGCCTAAAATGACTTATGAATTTTTCGTGTGAATGACTTACAACATTAGTCAAACACCCTACTAGTGATAAACATTGCTGGGCGTGCAGAGATTAAACAGCACCTCTACTTTAGTGGAATCCATTGTGCATTTTCAAAGAAATCATCACAAAGATAATGAAAAAAATTTTATTGAAAGATAATTTGGTTATTAACTATATATAATATATATGCATATATATTATATATATTAATAGGATTTTTTTTGCAATTCTAGGGGTGGAACCAGGCATCACAAATGCTACCTAAACAAGTATTAATACTTGATCAGTGAACAGCACTTGCTGTCTTGACAAGTACTTTTTTGTTGTTGTTGTTAAAAAAAGATGACAGATCATTCCCAAACTGGGGATATATCCCAGTGGCAGGGTGTCTAGCATCAACCAACACCTGGGTTTGAGCCCTAATACTCATGAAAAACAGGAGAAAAGAAAGGGAGGTTAAAGGGAGAGAAGAAAGAGAGGAACATTAGCTTTTTTTCCTCTTTGAGATCCAGATTTCTTCGGGTTTGGTTTTGATTTTTGAAACCTGGGTTTCAGGTAGAGCTGTGGAGGATGACCTGACAATCCCGATCCTCCTGCCTACACACACACACACACACACACACACACACACACACACACGTGTGTTAGGCTCCTAGGCGTGTACCACTACGGCTGCCTCCCTCACATCTCATTCTTTCAGCAAATCACAGAATGGTTTGGAAATGAATCAATCTTCTTTGACAGTAAAGCAGTATGTCCGTGTGTGTGTGTGTGTGTGTGTGTGTGTGTGTCATAGAATAACCAACATTTATCCAAGACTGACTTTCAAAGGCACTTGTTGCTTGAAGGACTGCAAGAACAACTTGTTTGATGTGAGTCAGGGTTCTGTCCCTAGGTCAGATGCTGGAGATAAAGCTGGGCCCGGTGACTCACCCCTGTATTCCTCGGGTTTAGAAAGCTGAGAGGCAAGAAGGTTGCAGTGAGTTTGAAAACCAACCAAAGCTGTATAGGTCAAGCTATATGGCCTACCAAGTAAGATCCTGTTAAGGGAAGAAAGGAGAATGGAAGGATGGAGGGAGAATGGAGGGAGGGAGGAGGAAGCAAAGAAGAAAGGAAGGAGGGAAAGATTAGCTACTTAAATGAGGGAAAGGCACTTTGAACTTACAGTTTCAGCGAGTTCAGTCCCCAGTCCCCTTGCTTTGGGCCTGCAGGGAAGCAGAGCATTGTGACTGGTTGCGCACAGTAGACCAAAGTTGCTAGAAAACAGAACAACAAAGCCGATCACACTTGCCAACACACACACACACACACACACAAATGGAAGTTAATCTTATATTCTATGCCATAGAAGCATTTACAGAATGAGTGAAGGCAGCAGAGAGGCTTTCTAAAAAATGTTCATTTCTTATCATTAGTAAATTCTTCGCCTTTCTTTGGATTTAAACATCCTAAATGTTCTTCCTGGATTTTCTCTGCGCAGTCCGCCTTCAGGACAGTTCCTGACTGCGGGTAATGCTCTCTTGCAGGCATCTCCATAACAATAGAATCCACTCCCTGGGAAAGAAATGCTTTGATGGACTCCACAGCCTGGAGACTTTGTGAGTTGACCTTTCATTTGTTTCCCTTTTTCCAGCGTTTTCATGAATATTCTGAAGGAATCAAAACAGCCCTAAAGGCAAACTTGATGTTTGGTTTGGTTAATTGCCCGAGCTTTAAGCAGATCTTTACCGAGGTTTTATCTTACACACACACACACACACACACACACACACACACACACACACCCCGCAGAGCTAAACAATAAAACTGAGATTCTATTTTAATCTCTTGAGGGTGGCAAATTAGCGAGAATAATTAAAGCTAAAGGAGGTCTTCTTAGGAAGCAGTGACTGTTTGCTTAGGAACGTGTATTTGTGTATTCTCCTCCCAAGGAGCAATCTCTCTTGTCAGACGCTCATCGTGACTTGTGTGTGAGTTTGGGCCTCTTCAGAAAGAGGAAACAAAGACCCTGAGATCCAGGCCCTTCATAAGGAACATGGTTCCTACTGAAGCAACGCAAGGGATGACATCACTTATAGACCTTGTTCAAATAATTTTTACAAATATCCTATTGAGCAGCTAACTTCTCTTAGGCTCCGCTGGGTTACTTTACCAAGGCTACATATTTAGCCTGTAGCCTATTTGGGGATTCCTTCTTTCTCTAGTCTCATTCTGAATCTATGATTATCTCCAGATAGTGCTTTCAAAGAGTGGGTCAGAGGTTCCACTGAACACAGTGACAGGCCCCTATGGTCTCAGTCTATTTGTAAGAATGTGGTAGAGCTTTACTCCAGCCCAGGAGTCTGAGACTAGCCTGGGACAGCATAGGAAGACCCCATCTCAAAAAAAAAAAAAAAACAAAAAAAAAAACAACAACAACAAAAACCAACTCAGGTTTTTGTTGGTACTTTTGATAAAAATGAGTCCAGTCAACTGACTGTGTTCTAGATCCCAGGCAGAGGATCTCACCATCCACCTAAGCACAAGCCTCCTCCTGGTAGAGAACAAACTCTTCAAAGCCCGCTGAGTCACGGAAGTGCAATATGGATGAATAACAGACAGCAAAAGTTCTGAGTGTAGGAAGTGGAGCAGGGGGACAACTGAGGGAACATCCTCAAATCACTTGACATAGTTATGACTGGAATACAGTAAACTACTCAAGACCTTGTGATGACAAAACCAAGTCTTCTAGGACCTTAGGAGACATTGTTCATTTGCACGCAGACCAGCAATTTACCCATAGTCAATTCAGTTTCTAAACCAGTTCTGGATCAACCTGCTTCCTGAGAGACCGTGTGTCCTGGGTCTTCTAACCATTGAACACCCATGACTCTCCTCACAGGACAGCGTCACTCCACTTCTCCATGGATATCAAAGAGGAACTCATTCAGGCAGATCCTTGACGCCATAGGAAAGCAGACACTTTCTATCAGCCACTAGGAAAAAGTTAGAACGTCTCTCTCATTAAGTGACACTTTCTCATCCCTTTTAACAGAACAATTGGAGCAAAGAAAAAAAAAATCATCTTTACTGGTGTTTCCATAAGTGCTTTCCCTGTCCCTTGTCCTGGGTAAGGAGCCAGACCTCCAGAAAAATACATACAAATACCACAAAAGAAAACATTTCAGGACAAAAATCTGTGAATCTTATTGTCTGGCCCCCACTTTGCCCAGGGCTACAGAGGATCAGTAAATTGGTTGTTTCCAACCTCTTCCTTTCCCTGCCTAGAAAACCAAGTAATTTATAAGGGTCCAGTCCTCGTTTAATCAAAACAGAGCATCTGGAGAGATTTACACACAGGAAGAAAATCTATGTCCACAAAAGACATGAGTTTCCTGCCTGCGGAATGACTCAAGGATGGCTGCGCCAGACAAGTAGGAATCTTGATTCATGTCTAACTCGGTCAAATTATCTTTCCCTTAAAATTAAATAGCAATTCTTTTCTACTGAGGAGGATCTAACCACATCTGATTGCCTTACCAAAAGAGTTTTCTGTGTCATCTGGGAAATCTACCGTTCCCGGGGACCAGACAGCGATTCTTTTTCATCCGAAGCTGTAGGTATAAGGAGTGAGCCTATAAAACATCTGTGAGTAATGGCATTGAAAAGCCATTTGTGTCATTACAGATAGAGACATTAATGATGTGAGTTTCTCTGACCCTTCCATCTCTCTGTATGAGGGATAACACAGGGCTTTGCCTCACAGACCAGGACAAACATGTATGACCCTGGGGAAGCTACAGTCTCCATGTCCTTCCTAAGAGTCCTGTGTATCACATAAACCTTTCCAAACACATTTCGCCCTGAACTTCAGGCTGGGTGAGACACAGGCTCTCCACGGGAGCCAAGAACAGGGCAGTTTTCATGTCCCACATCCTCAATGGGAATGGGGAAACAAAAAAGAAGATGCCTCTCAGGACTGAAGAGTGGAAACACCAGCTGGCAATTCTGTGAACCCCAGGATTCAGGGAAGAACTCCATCAGAAAGTGGTCAGAACCCACCCAGCAAGCATCGCCTCTCCTTGGAAGTTAAAGCAGATGCAGGTCCCTCCCTGTTTTAAATGACCCTTGATCCTTAGCTTGAGATTTCTGTTAGTTGGTGTCATGATTATTGTAATGCAGATGTTGTCAGGCTATTGCTGGTCAAAGCCCTGGAGCTTGTTCAGCAGGTTGAAGCACTTGTAGCTCAGCCTGGTTAGCAGGGTTCCATCCCTGGAACCTACCAGTGAAAGGAGAAAACTAGCTCTCCAGAATTACTCTCTTATCTCTGCAAGCCTGCTTGGTGCTCATACATACAAACAGACATATGCACACATACATGCAAGTGCATGTGTGCTCACACATACTAAATACAATAAATTGTTTTTAAAGTATTAGCTGGCAGCCAGCCAATAAACCATATCTTGAAAGAGAAAGCAAAAGAGCTTCCATCTATGACATGGGTCCGTTGGAATACTTAACTTGTACACTGAGGAAATAGAAGCTTTAGATGAAATGCTGAAAACACCATTTATTCATTTCTAGAGACTTAAATTATAATAACCTCGATGAATTTCCCACTGCAATCAAGACACTCTCCAACCTTAAAGAACTGTAAGTATTAAAGCAAATTTAATGAATGAACTTTTACTCTTGGTAAATTTATTTTTAAATTGACATAATTATTCATGTAATGGCTGAAAATTTTGTTTATATAAGTAATAGTTTAGCGTACTTGAAGCATATTTTAATTGATTTCCAGAACCAAAAAATTATACTTTTTGAATTTATAAATGGCCTCTCTTGTTTATATATAAAAAACACATCATTTATATCTATATAACCCATATGCTTTCATTTTTTCTAAATGATATATATTCTAGTACCAATTTCATTCTTTGTATATTTGTAATACAACTATAATAGAATTTAGCTATTTGTTAATTCTATGAATCTAGAAATTTCTGAGCTGCATAAATATAGAATCGTATGATAAAATTTTGTCCCTTTATAGCAATAGATGTCATCACATATTTTATTACATACATTTTTAATGCTGGATGAGCCTTACTTAATTTTCTAAGCACAATTTCACTAAAGAAACACTAATTTTCAACCGTTGGTTGTATGTATATATTATGTTTTAGACGATAAATTTTAATTAGCTTTTCCTTTTTATCTAAAAAGACAAATATCTAGCTCTTGAAAAAATATATATAAGCTGGAATGTTTTCTCCACAAAGCAGATAGACAGAGTAGTGTGTTTATAAGGAAAAAGCCTTTGCTGGTGTCTGGAGAGATGGCTCAGAGGTTAAGAGCACAGGCTACTCTTCTAGAGATCCTGAGTTCAATTCCCAGCAACCACATGATGGCTCACAACCATCTGTAATAAGATCTGGCACCCTCTTCTGGCATGCGGGCATACATGGAGGCAGAATGTTATAATAATAACAAATGTTATTATGTTATACATAATAAATAAATAAATCTTTAAAAAAAAAAAGCCTTTGTGGGTTCCGCCTCAAAGAATCCCATGTGTATCAGCCAAGTAGAAAATGACAGAGAAGGGCATTCCTAACTCCCATGTACCTCCATACAGCCAGTCATACAAAACCCAAAGATCCTTGACTCTGCCTGTCTGCCATTCAGATTGTATTGGCCCCAACAGGGGTAATCGATTTATTATCACGACCCACTAAACATTTCCCTTGTAAGGAGCTTCCTTAAATCTCTGCTTCACTGCAGCTTAAGTCAGTTTTCCCTTCTCTGGCTTCAAACAGAGAGTAATCTTAATCCTCTCTCCAAAAATAGCTCGGTCTCAAGCTGTTGTGCTACAGTCCTCTACTGGATAGCAACAAAAGGAGTTTTCTTTTATAACGTAACATCCTGTTTCCATAAAACACCATTAGGAGATGAGAGCATGCGATTTTCTTTTCTCCTCTGAAGTAAATGAGGACACACACACACACACGTTTCACCATGCAAGGAGGCGTTAACATGTACTCTTGTTACTAGAGATGCTGACTGTAGTTACTGGTAGAGCAAAGAGAGCTATTAAGTAATCCTCCCCCTCACACACATGTGACTGTCTATAATTATTCTTCTCTTCTTCTAGAGGATTCCACAGCAACAACATCAGGTCAATACCTGAGAAAGCATTCGTAGGCAACCCTTCTCTTATCACAATGTAAGTGGCCATTGTACTCCTTTTCCTTCTTGCTGACATTTAACAGTTTTAAATATATTGTACATTTAAATATAATTCAAATTAATGCTAACTAATTTGCCTTGGTTTTATCTCTGTCCGTGCAAAAATCTGTACAGAAGTGCTTTATTTTGTCAGATTTTATTGATAAAGTTCATCAGGTTTCAAGTAAACACTGAAATATGCTAAATATTCATCTTTCACGATCTGAGGTGTCTGTTGGCTTGCAGTCTCCATCTTCAGAGGCCAAGCCACACAGCTCGTCTTCTAAGTGTTTTTGATTACTTGTATTTTGCAAGGAATAAACCTGATTTTAGAACATCAATGGCAGGCCACTTAGTCATTCAGGAACGCAACCCCAGGACTCTAGAAAAAAATAGCGCATTATATACAAAGGGGGGGGGTCTTTGCAACCAATTTACCTCTAATTTAAATTACTGGATGTGAGAGTTGAATGGAAGGAATTTATGTTCTCTGTCTATTCATAAACAAGCCCCAGCCTTGAGCCACATTTACACAAAACCGGGGTGTAATTCTAGAAAGGTACATGTATTCTAGAATGGGAACTGTAAGGACTTCATGTATTATTAAAAAAAAAAATAAAACAAATTTATAATCACAAAGTACCAATAATTTTGTTTCACACTTAATACAACATTAGTAGAGCATCTATTATGTATCAACATTAAGAAAATGGAAATGTGTAATTATTAGGTTGGGTTTTTTTCGATAATAGGTAACTGTCCAAGTAGGCTTAGGGAATTACATTGACCTTAGTGATGGGTCTCAGATCTCTCAAAGAGAGGATGAGTACAGGCAACCATTGAATCTGGCCCTAAGGCGTTCCTCCTGTGCTAACTTAAAAAAAGACTTTCTGAAACCGTGTGGCGTTTGTCACAACTGAGCTAGAGCCCCAATTAGCCTTGACAACTGGGGGTGAGGAGCAGCTAATACACGCACAAACAAAACCATTCATCACCTCTGAAATGTCCTGGCAATATTTTGGCAAACTAAAGGCTTTGAATTCTATTGCCGAATAAACATTAGTCCTCATTAGAGAGCATTTACATATTAAAAGATTAGTGAATTGCAACGGCTTTGCGACCCTTTCCTTGCAGCCCTAGGACTGGCTCTTAATCGCTCTTTTGGCATGTTAATGTGCTTGAGTGACTGCCCTCGCGGTCTTTGGAGACCTCTCCACTTTCCACGGTGCCGTCAACTTTCTCTTCATCCTCCTGCTCTCCTCACATGCGGGTTTCCGTCTCTCATCACCACCAGCCTTTCCAGCACAGTGATCTCTACGTATGTTTTGCTCCAAGCCCCATTAGCTGATGAGCCAACCCTCATTTCTACCTCTGCAATCTCCAACCCAGTACCCTCTTTTTATCCCCTCCTTCCCCAGCTCCTCGGTTAGCCATTACTTCTCTTCTGTTAGCCATTAGCCATTGATCAGTGCTGATGAAGCGGGTCTCCCTGTCTCTCCACGGTGACAGGGGATGTCGCTATGAAGCAGACATCCAGGACTACCAGTTTAGATTGAATACAAACTCCTTACCTGACATTCCACGGCCAACTTCCTAACCTACCTATTTCCCCCAAACTCTTCACAACAATGCCATAACCCAGCTACCTAAGCTGTGTTTGTACAGCACAAAAATTCAATCCCTGCACTACGATGATTGGAATTCTTTCATATGTATTTCTAACGGTATTTCATAGCTTTTCTACCCTTCCCGCCAACAAATGAGAGGACTGCCCTCAGTAAACCCCAGAGCTTTGCCTTTGCAGTTGGGATATTTCTGCCTTCACATGCAAGCACATACATTCATCCCTGCCCGGTGTGTGTATATTTGCACATGTGTACGAGTGTCAATTATGTGCCGATAAGTATATGGTAGAGTCAAGGAAGGCGTGCTGTGAGGAAAGCTCCATTTTAAGCCGTGTATTCCAGCTGTCAATCTTTTTTAATTCTTTCATCGATTTTTTGAAAAGAAATCCATGCACATATGTAATGTATCTTGATCACCTTCAACCCAGATCTCCCCCACCCCCATTGCGGTTCTTTTAATGATTGTCTAATCCTAAGGGAAAAGAGGGGGATAGGATCCCAAAGCACAGAGGTGGGCTCTGTCACCAACTATGTGAGATGTTGCACTGATTGCATCAGTGCTTGTGGTTGTTGCACAAACCCTACGTTCTTGTCTTAGCTGAAATGAAGGATCTGGGTGATAACGTGCTTTTCTGGGTATCTGCTCCTCCGTTTTCTCACCTGAGCATAAAGAAAATAGTACCTCCACCCTAGATCCAAGCTGTGCAGATCAATTGCTTTGTCAAATAGAAGGCGGTGTGCTGTCTCTTGCCTTATGCCTACCAGATCCTAAGCTCCTCTAGGCAGGAATACTTTATCAATCCATTCCTCTTCAGCTTCCAGCATCTAGAATAATTTCCAATGGCAGCTTCCCTAGTGAGCAAATCTTTAAATCTCTGCAATGTCTACTTCACGGTTTTTGGTTTTTTTTGTTTTTTTTTTTAGCATAGTAGACACTGGTTAAGGATTTATTGTATTTACCTGAACTATCCCAATGCCTCAGCTAAAAAATATGTGTTGGGCTCCATTAATAAAGCATTAATCAAATACATTCTGATTGCATTTAAAAAGTTTATAATACAAAATGTTCTTTAAGTTTTAATAATGTCTCACATTTTAGAGCCATGATGAATTCAAAAAATTTCTTACATTAGATAAACTCCAGAGTATATACTTCTTCTCAAGAGTGTGAAAAGTCCTTTGTAGATGTTGTTATGGTTATTATATTCAACCAGCAGATAGAACCTTCCATAAACACAGATAGATGACAGATAGATAGATAGATAGATAGATAGATAGATAGATAGATAGATAGATAGATAGATGGATGGATGGATGGATGGATGGATGGATGGATGGATGGATGGAT